CAGCGCCACGCTCCCGGGGCCGGCGCTCCCCCCGCCATGCACCTGGTGCCAGGCCAACCCCGAGCACCTGGCGGGCGCATGGAAATGCCCGCGGGCACCGTGTTGGGGACCACGGGCTTAGAGTAAAACTGGTCATGTCCCATAGTTTGAAAACCACTGCCAAGATGTGAAGACTGCCTTTGTCCCCAGTGCCAAGATGCACATACTGTGTACTCAGGAAAGTTAGTAGTAATGGACTGGAACATTACAGAGCACAAAAGTAATAGGTTCATACTTGGGAAAACAAAAGAGACTGAAAACCCACCTGCTCTTTGTCCAAGTCGCTATCTTCACTCTCTGAGAATATCATCTCAATCCTCTTCCTCTTGCCCTTTCCAACAACTTGTATTTTTGTAATTTCATCTGCCTGCAATATCTTTTGCATCATCTCAACTAGCTCTTGAGGGTCATCTGAAGTGGAGGAAAAAGAAGAAGTCCAAGCAGATGATACTATTCTGCTAGTCAGCTAGTGACATCTCAAATTCTTATAAATGAGTTGCTTTGCAGAGGGACTCACCACTCATGTATACTACTTTTACTAAATGCTTCTCTGTCTTTCTTTCACCCACAGGCCAGTTAACTAGCACCTGCTCATTTGGTTTTAGGAGTCCTTCTAGTTCACTGTCATCATTGGGAAGATCCTGTATCCATGAAGTCTCTCCAATTTGTAGCGAATTATCATTTACAAAATCAAACAGTGTGAACTTTTTCATTGTTAAGAGATTTCCTTGTCACTCAGAGGCAGCCTGAAGAATTTCAGAGGAAAAATAATAATTATTTCACCATATCACCAGTGTACATGAAACTTTACAAACAGATTTATAAAACCCCAACTCTCTCCTCCTTGGATCTTGCAATGTGAGAGCCTCCCTGTGCAAAAATAACCCCTGTATAGGGGAAGAGAAAACTAGCCAAGTCTCCTGTGAACTCTTTTTTTTCTTTAAAGGAAACAGGAGAGGAGAAGAGTTTGCCTACATACAAAAATGGAGAGAGATTTGGTCTCCAAACCATACACTACAGAGGATCCACTGGGCATTTACACAGAGGCTACGCTACGTCTACACTGCAGTAGTTTGTCGGAAAAGGAAATGTAAATCTCGCGCTCATTTGCAAATCTTTCACTCACATTTACATATTCTCTTCTGATCCTTTTTGCAGAAGAGATTTTTGCGATAAAAAGCCCTGTGTAGATGGGGCCATTTGTCGGAAAAACCCCGTTTTGCGCAAGATCATGTAAACCTCATTTTTTGAGGAATAAGGGATCTTGCACAAAACAGGGTTTTTCCAACAAATGGCCCCATCTACACAGGGCTTTTTATCGCAAAAATCTCTTCTGCAAAAAGGATCTGAAGAGAATATGCAAATGAGAGTGCGAGATTTGCAAATGAGCGCTCCATTTGCATTTCATCTTCCGACAAACTGACGCAGTGTAGATGTAGCCAGGGTGTCTCTACCTCCACACCATTCCCTTGTCTTATCTGTCTGCCATCACTGGACCACTATGCCTGGAGTTTGCCTTACCTTATAGGGTTCTGAAGACAGAGGTAAAACCTCTGAGGGATAATACAGACTCTGAGAGTTTAAAGGTACAAAGATGATATAAACTTCATACAGTAGTTTACCCTGGCACCTTGAGATGTATGTGTTGTGTATTATATGTAAAGGGACGTATGACTAAAAAGACTTCTTAGTCATTGTATGAGTAACAAGAACAATACAATTACAACCCAAAACACAAATGATGAAGTGACTGGATGAATTCTGACACACCCTGGCAATGGAAAAGTTGACATATATTAGAAATGACAATCTTAGGATTATTAGACAGTTGGACTGCCTTTTATGAACTATAGAATAAAAACCCCCCCCCCCCCCCCCCGTTTTTAAAAAGGAAGAAAACACTATTTTATTTGTCTTGGTATACTGAAAATTCAGGGGTAGAAGAAGGGAAGGAACAAAATGCAAACTGGAATAGTTTGTATTTAACTTGTTCTATTAAAAACAATGTGACATTTAAATGGGAGCAGATCATTTTTAAATGGACAACCTATACTAAAAATCTAAGACAATTCATCTAGACTTATTACTTTCTGAAAATATTTTCTACTTTTAAATGGTCATTAGAATTTTTGGAAATTATAATTTTGCCAAACTTTATTCTTCTCGTAGACACATATATGGACCTGTCTATCAGTTCAGGGAGGGACATCAATATTACAGAGTTGCAAGTGAGTGAATATATGTGATTTGGTCTCAATCTGTGATAAGGTGATCTGGCAGCGCATGCATGGGCTGTCATGTAGGTAACCGGGAGCTGAAAAAGAGCAGAATTGTTTGAAACAATTATGCCAGAGTGAGAAGGTGTCTCTCAATGCTCTAAATTAGCAATGGGAGTGCAGAGCTAATGCTTGGGGCAGGAGCAGGGCCAGTGTTCTTTAGGCCTGCTTTGGGAAAGCCACTAGTGGTTCCGTGCCCTTTAGAGTCCATAGCCACAGAGCTTCACGGCTCCCGTTGGCTCCAGTTCACCATTTCCAGTCAAGGGCACTCACTTCCTGTGGCTCCCTTTAACTGGAAATGGCAAACCAGAGCCAATGGGAGCTGCAAGCATCCATGGCTATGGACACTAAGTAAGCAAAGCAGCATAGGCTTGCTAGCAGCTTTCCCAAAGCGGGCCCATGGAACACTTTGAGAATCACTGCTATAAAGGGCAAATTCACCACTAGGCAGAGGGCTAGCACTAGGCCTGTGAACCATGTAAATCCCCACTGCACAGGGATACATTTTTATCCTAATATATTCCCATCAAAAGGCTTTGCAATATTATGCTCTAGTGATAGTCACTAGGCTAGGAAAGAAATTACCATTTGAAAAAACAGAGTAAGAATTACCATTAGTACTCTTCTAAAGAGTGTGTGTGGTATGATATGAGTAGTATTGGGTTGTATTTTATTTTACAATTTTTCAGGGAAGTGCAATTTCATGAGATTACATTTTCTTTAATATGAACGCACAGTACTCTACTTAGGAAGGAACAGTCAGCTGCACATGCATAAAATAGGAAATGACTGCCTAAGAAGGAGTACTGCAGAAAGAGATCTTGGAGTCATACAGGATCACATGCTAAATATGAGTCAAAAGTATAACACTGTTGCAAAAAAAAAAAAA